AGGGGTACCCTATTTTCCATCTCGGTACGTATTAATCGCATCTTATGATATCAGCTAATCATATTCTCTTATTCGCCATCATAGTTGCAGGAGGAAAAGTGAGCCAAGCGGCTGGAGATTCTGTGGCCGCTCATCCTTCCTGGCGCAAGGCAATTCAGCACCTCGCTCTTACTACCGGATGGGATAACAGTACTCCCTTCTCGATCAGAGGACTGATAAGGCAAGGATTGACCCAGGAGACCCAAAAGCTAGCGGCCCTTGTCCCCGGATTTGGCAGCTACGTTAACGAGTGAGTCAATTCCCTTTCTAACTCGTCACCTCCACTCATGCTGATGGTTTCATTTCTAGAGGAGATATTGTTAGTAAAATCATCTGTCAATTATCAGCTCGAGCACTGACTATGAACTTTGTAGAACGAACCGAATTGGAAAGAAGCCTTCTGGGGCAGCAACTATAACCGCCTTCTTGGTATCAAGAAGTCCATAGACCCTTTGGGTATCTTCACCTGCTACCATTGCGTAGGAGATGATTCAGACTAAAAGCCCATTGCCCAACGTCAGAGGTCTATGAATCCTCGGATTTTTCTCAGTGTTACTACCCTATATACCACCGAATGGTTGGACGTACAGTATTTATTGTTGATTATTAATTCAATGCTATACGGTTTTCTCCTAACCAGAGGACTGGACTTTTACGTTTGTTTGGGAGCTTATTGTTTTGGACTGAACCTGACCCCGTCTTCGACCTGTAGATGACCAAGAGTTGACCTGCAAGCCGTCGCTCACCGACTCCCTCCCATGGATAGATAGCCTTGTCCCCTATCAGCTTTGGGTAACATTGCAGTGTGGACAATAAAGTCGCCTAGCGGTGGCAATAGTGACCAAATCTGAGCCGCTATCGCATCGCACAGTGACCCATTCCTTGGTGTTTCCAAAGGGACTTTCTTGCCCATTTCTTCTCTTTTTTTTGTTTCTCAAGTCTTGTCTCGTTGGGATGCTAAATCAAAGCAGACTACGGAGATCGATTGTCTTATTGTTTGGTGCCCATTGGAGCCATTGTCTCCTCCTTGACCCTCCCATTCACCTGGGCCTAGCCTCAAAACTCGTTCACCGTAAAATAAAGCTACAGTAAATATTCGAGTGGCCACTGACTTTGGATGGTTTCTAGGTAGAATGCACAGACCAATCAGAAGCATTTCGATAGGATTTGTTACGCAGGAGCTTCTCAGAGCGCCTCGATTATCGGTGTCTTTGGTATCGACTGCTCTTTACCCGTACAGTAAAGCCTGGTTTTAGGCAAATGAAGGTGTCCAATGACACTGATGATCGACAATAGCGTCAGCATTAAA